CGTGGCAGGGCGTGGGCACGGCCAGCAGAGGGCTCTTCAGACCCATCAAATCACTACGGCCGCTCCGTGCCCGTCAGCTATGGAATGAGACAGATTTCTGCCCAGGTGAGCCTTTTCACATTCTAGGAAATGCATATGAACGATTTAAGGACGTCAATTGGGGATTTGATCTTTTGTGTCCCTCAAGGGACACCGTCCCATGGTGACTTTTGGCATTAGATCTCAGGACACAATGGTGGAGCCGTCAGAACCTGCTTTGTGTTCAGGCATGTGGGTTACTGTCCTGCTCCCTACAAGTTTTGGGGGTTCTCTGTGACAGGTCCTTGTGCTTGAGAAAAGGAAAGAAGCAGCGTTGGCTGAGCAGCCACGTCAGCCCTGTTCTCCCAGGCTGTCTCTCGAATGCTGGCCGTCGGCGGCCAGGTCATTGTGCAGAAGGAAGAGAGGGGCCCAGGCCCACTCGGGGAGAGGGGAACTCCCTGGACCCAGGTGGAAGGTCACGGGTTCTCTGCCTGGCCTCCTTTCTGGGCTCTGCTGGTCATGGCTGCGTAGGCTTTAAGCCTTGGGGTCTGAAGAGAGACCTGGGAAGCAGGTGCTGGGGAAGGGGCCTCAGGAGGAAGGAGAACTTCCTTGCTAGACCACGAGAACGTTCTCAGCCAACACTGATGCTGGTCCAGGGGCCCCAACAAGGCCTGTGAAGGAGCCTCCTGTCCTCCAGAGCAGGCCCCAGCAACGGCTTTGGAGTCAGGCCTGGCCTTAAATCCAGACTCCTTCCCTATAGTTAGACAGTTTTGGTCAAATTCAATACTTTGAATTTTAACTTTCTTTTTTTTGTTGGTTGTGGGGCTTGAGCTCTGGGCCTGGGCACTGTCCCTCAGTTCTTCAGCTCAAGGAGAGCACTCTACCACTTGAGCCACAGCTCCACTTCTGGTTTCCTGGTGGTTTATTGGCGATAAGAGTCTAATGGACTTTCCCACCTGGGCTGGCTTTTTGAACCATGATCCTCAGATCTCAGCCTTCTGGGTAGCTAGGATTACAGGCATGAGCCACCAGCACTGGGCTGAATTTTAACTTTTTTATGGGTAAAATGGGACAGTAATTTGTTCCTCATCAGAATTCTGGCACAACAAGAAATGAAAATGAAAAACATGCCTTACTACTGGGGAGCCCTCGAAATCCAGCTCCTCTGCTAGGTGAGTCACAGGATGACGGCCCTGCTCTGTAACTTAATTTGTCCACAAAACACTCAATGTCCACCATATGCTAAATATTTAACTGGTCCAATAAATATTTTTAATATTTCCAAGATATATATTTTCTTTTCTACTTAGAGCTTCAGCCGTGTAGAGAACTTACAACATCAAATGTGCAAGTTGTTTTCTTGCATGATGAATACATTTCTTAAAGATCTGACTTCCTGTTAAAGTTATTATGTGTAAAATGCCGAAGTCCCCACAAGAAACCATAACAAAATGAGCTTGAATTTACCGTTCTGAAGCAAAATCAAACTAGTGACTCATCTTCCCAGTGTGTTTTTAGGGCGCTGTGGGAGTCACAAATGCCAATATCTAGGAGTGAAATCCCCAAATTCCACAGACAGAGCTTTGCTACACATATGACCTGCACACTATGATTTGCACAACATGGCCACTTACTTGGCTTCCTGCCCTGGCCTTACCACACAACATCCCATTTTCCTTTATTAATTAAAAGCAAGTACCTCTTTGCGATGCAGATAGTGGCTCTGTCAATCACACCAGAGCCTCACTGCACATAGCTTTTAATTGAATGACTCCCACAGCAGAGACTGACCTCTGGTCTTCTGTTAATCAGCTGTATACACAACAAAGGTGAAGTGTAACAAGATGAGTGTGACGGGCTCTGACACGGAGCAGCCTAGAGGGTGAGTGTGTTGTTCTACATTTTAATAACTTGACATCCAACATTTTTTTGCCCACTGAATGTCAGTCAATTCATGATAATTTTAGTAAGTGCAGCAATAACCTAGATGATTTCAAGACAAAGGCTCTTGATAGCAGGAGCAAATCATCTCCTGGAGCAGGAGGAAATGATCAGGCCATTGGCTCTGTCCTAGATTCACACCAGGAGCCAGCATGCCATGGTGGAAGTGAGAGAAGAGGTACTTAGAGCAGCCCTGTACCAGGCAGGGGCTGGGAAATGCACTTGGGGGCTCTGCAGCTGGGCTGTGGAGGGTCTACAGCAGCAACCTGAAACCCAGGAAAGTTCTCATCAGTAGAATGAGACTAGTGATGGTATCTATAAGGTTGTGTGTTGTTTGTGTTTCTGTTTCTGTCTCTATCTCACTTGTGTGTTCACTATTATATGTGTGTGTATCTTACTTGTGAATTATCTTTCTGTCTCTCTCTAGGTTACATTATAATGTCTATTATATACCTATTTTCTATATAATTATATATTATATAACTATATATTATATTATCTATTATATAAACAAAAAAGTATCTGAGGTGTTTGGATGCTTGCTAATGTTTTCCTACTTTGGTGCCTCTGTCTGTTACTTGAAAATGTTAAATATCAACAATTGTAGGTGAACTTCTTTTGCTTTTCCTCTGAAGACCTTGGTGTTTAGTTGGTGGGCCCCAAGTCAGACTGATTGGCTTCAAATTCCAACTCACCATCAAATCACCCACTAACCTCTGTAGTGGGTGCTCAGAGGGAAGGATTCTGAGAAGTGCAGCAGTAGCTGGACAACTAAAAGAACTGAGCACACACCTCAGTGACTGTCAGGCTATGGGGGCTGGGCAAACAGCTTTCTTTCTGTTGCAGCCCTGAGGTAAAGGCCACATCTCAGGACTAGGGGCAAAATCAACATAGACCCACATTAACAAAATGGATGACTCATCAAGTTCAAGCAGATCAGCCAGTAGTTTCTTCAACGCTCCCTGTCTAATACACAGAGAAGAACAAGAAAGGAGAAGGATGTGACATATGGTTAAGAAGAAAATCAAAGTGACCAAATAGAAATAGACTTGATGATGATCTGGTGCCAGACTTGCAGATATGGACTAAAAGGTAACTATCAAGTTCAGAGACTGAAAGGAAAAGATGGCCATAGTGAAGAAACAGAGCCGTGAGCAGAGGAACCAAAAACCCAACAACGAGCAAATCCTAGAGCCAGAAAGGAACACAGCAGAGATAACCCCTTCCCCACACGACGGGGTGGGAGAAAGGAACACAGCAGAGGTAACCCCTTCCTCCCACGATGGAGTGGAAGAAAGGAACACAGCAGAGATAACCCCTTCCCCCCACGATGGGGTGGGAGAAAGGAACACAGCAGAGATAACCCCTTCCCCCCACGATGGGGTGG